CGAGGGCAGTTCCAATTGGTTCTGCGGAGTAAAGAAACCTCTGCCTGTACCTACAAACACAACACGCCTCAGCAACACTCAGTAATTTTAAAAAAGCAAAGGGGGTTGATTAGTACAAAGGACTGTAAAATTCAGATGGTAACCTACAGCAAATAAGTGCCCAAACTACCACGATTACATTTCCCTCACGCATCTTTCAGGCTGCCTCGGCGTATGGATGTGGCATCATCCCTGTTTTAGAAGAAAGAAGCACAGGGAAGGGGAATGGCCCAGCCTCATACAAAAGCCAAGGGAAGAACTGGGAACTGTCGAAACTCAGTCCTTGTTTTGCCCAGACAATGTTTCCCTGAATCTGGGATCTTTTCCTCTTTTAAGCCAAAACCAAAAAAAAGGTAAAAATGGAACAGATTTAAGCAAATATATCCAGCAGCCCCTGTATGTTTCTACAACATTTTTTAGCAGTTTCTGTTTATAGCACAAAGAAAGAAGTCAGCATTTTTTGAGTCCCTACTTGGTAATTTTCCTTTTCATCTTTAAACAACTTGAAAAGGCGCTGTCCTTTAGGTTAATATAAAAATATCAGCACAAACAGCAAGAAGCATTTGCATGAAGAACAGAACAAACAAAGGGCTTTCCAAAGGCAAAAGCTAAAGTCATGTCAGCATCAGGACATCTAGTTTTCCTCGACCGGATTTGCTCTGTGCCTCATAAAAAACCTGACAAGTCTCAGTTACCAAGATTTTCAGCTTAAGAATTTAGTCGGGGCTGGGGCGAGGAGGGAGGGTTTAAACTTTCGTTTCGATTTAAGGACAGAACTTTCAAGTTTCTTTTAACATCTGGTGCTTTCGTTAGAGAGGACTCTGCTGCTTCCCTCTTTCAAACCACTCACAGCTCCCGAACTCTCGCTCGAGAGTCTTCTGGTTGGTGATATTTTGCCCATTTGCTCACGTAACAGCACGCCCCCCCCCTCCCCACCCCCCGTAAAGGCGGGCGGGCTGGAGAGGGGGATCCTGGCGAGCCCGGCTGACGTGGGCGAGCGGCGTCAGAGGGGAGAGGGGGTCTGGGGAGGGAAGCTGTGGGGAGAGGGTGAGTGGGTGCGTGGGCAGGGAGCGAGCGGCAGCGGCGTGGGGACGAGGCCGGGGGCGAGCGGGGGGCGGCGTGGAGACGGTGACGAGTGCGAAGGCACCGCGGGGTCAGCTGCCGCGGGCGGAAAGGGGAAACGGTAAAGGAAAGACTGCGGAGGCAAACGGAGCCTGAGGTGGTGGCGGGGAGCAGGGGAGAGCCTAAAAATGAATTAAATGCCCATTAGCAACAGCGATTACAATGGAACAGGAACCTTAAACATTTGCCAAACTCCAGGGAAAGCCTATTTATACCCTTCTTGATTAAGATTAACGGCCTGAAATTTGGCATTTCTCTGGGCTACTGTAAGATAAACGTAGGGTTTTCATGCTGTCATGAAGCAGAAGAAGGTTAGTCCTCTGCAGTACTTTGCAAAGTACAGTTTTCCCCTAAATTTAAAGAACACATTTAGGACTTTTCCTCATTGATAATTAACTTGACTTGCTATTAACTCAATTGTTGTCTCTATGACAAGTCACACCCACCCACAAAAGCTCTTAACTGGAGACTGGCTCTTCTTTTAATTTGAGTTGGCTGTACATCAGACAGTAGATGGGAAGACAAGGATATGGCACAACTCAACAGCTACTAAAAGAAAACAAACACCCTAGAAAGCAGACATGGACCAGCTCCACTGGAGGAGTAGCTCTGCTCCTTGGATGCTGTGCTATTTATATCACCATCATCATGCCAAGGAGTCCTGGTTACACACGGGGCTGCTGCTGCACACCATTTCCCTGGCACGCTCAGGGATGAGAGACAAGAGAGATTTCTAGAATTGTTCAGCTTATTAAAGGACAGAAATATATGGGATGTACCTCGTGACCGCCGCAGATCATGGACAAGCACTGAGATGGTGTGGAAACAGCAACTCTCTCCAACAAGGCTAACGCAAGAAGGGCAACCTGAGTGCAAGTCATCTGACTTGCATCCTAGTGAACACACACAATTTGCACAGCCCATCCTGAACTGAACAAGGGATAAACACTGCCAGCTAATAGTGGGGAATTCATAGTGAAACAGCCTTACGGGTACCCTTGCAGAGTGACTCAGACACAGACAGCTCCAGCTAGGCACACAGCATGATTTCCAAACACCAACTCCCTATCACCCAGGAGTTTGGAGGTACACAACAGTTGCTTTAACAGTATAGGCAAGGGTGCTGGAGAAATCATCTTAAAAAAACCAAAAACCTTAAATCTTGACCAAGCAACTTCCTATTGTTGCCGATTATGACCCCAATTTAGTGTGCAGCCAAGCCTTGTGCTGGAAGGCGTGGAGGAGGGATGACACCACTACAGAATTTGTGTCAGGGCTCACTCTCCATTTGCCATCCCAGTTGCCTGTGGCACCCGGGCTTCCAGGGAAGACAATGGCCCCTTTACACAAAGAAGTTTGGAACGCAACTTTGTGGCCCCACGCCTTGCTATTACTTCATCCCTTACTGACAAGACAAGTAATACACACGCTGGCAGGCTGGAGGCATTTTGCATCTGTTAATAGGGTCAACGCCAAACCTCTGCCCCAAAAGGAGACTCGGGACAGGGACTGTTTGACTGTTCCAGAAGAAGGTGGGAAAGAAAAAGAAAAAACAACCAACTCAAAACCACCCTGAAGGCTGGTTTTCAGCTCCAATAAATTTCGTTTATGATGTTCATACAAGAAATGAGTAACGCTAACTTGCGACCTGCTTAGAGGATGCACCTAACTCCGAAATGTTTCTAAATAGGAAAGTCAGATGCCTTTCTCAGGACACATAAATAAAGCACAATGCAGGATGGATACCATACAGCCTGTGCAATCTTGGAGAATGTAGTGATAACTCTTCTGACCTTAAAAAACAAACTAAATCCATGTATAAAACTTTCAATTTTAGCAAGCAGCAAACATTACGGCAACTGCTGCCAATGAAACTCTGTTCTGATCAACTAAGTACACATATAAAAATATTTCTGTCACTAATCCTGTTTTATTAGACCTTGGTCCTATGCCTTTCTGGGCCCTACTTAGCGTGGGACTGCCCTGGAGCAGCTGGAGGCCACTCTCAAGGCAGCTCTGCTTTGTGCTGACACGCTGACAAGCGCCGAAAGGCAATTAGACAGGTTGGGGATTGCCAGCGGCCCCTTCTCAGCACAGCCCCTGCCCAGAGCAGGGCACTGCCCTGTGTGTCACCCAAGCAAGGCTCTCCCCTGCTGCCAGGGCAGGGCCCCGCTCTCCTCTGCTGCTGGACTGGTGGAGAGCAGCCCAGCATCTTGCCTGATGCTGCTAAGGGCAACTCGCTGTAATCACCCCACAACTGTCAGTGAATTTGGAGTTAGGTGCCAACCGCTGTAAAAATCTACTGTCAAATGAGTTTAGTCAAACACGTCTTCACAATTACACTCAGCAGCACTAGGAACAGAGATACTTCTGTGGTTGCTAAAGTTTCTTTGGTGAAATACATGTACAGAAAGGGATTTTATCACATTCTTTTACTGCATGGCAACAAGAGAAAGCATCATCTCATTTTTTATTTATGGAGAAAAAGAAAGCCAAGAGGGCTGAACAGAAGAATTCCCCTTTCTGTCTGAAATCAAGGTAGAGTTGGCTGAGTCAAGGTAACAATTAAAACACGTAAACTGTTTTTATTGTGCTGATGAACTTAAACTCAGGTAAAAACAGATGCTATTGTTTGCATACATTATCAGAACCAATATAATTGTTTAGATGGACCATTAGGACCATGAGCCTGACTCCAAACAGCTGTTCTAAAAATCAAGCGATCTAAAACATTTCTCTCTCTGTGTAAGTTCAACATGCTTCTTTCTGTCCCAGTTCAGGACAAAAGCAAGGTATGTATTTTGAAGATGGCCAGAAATTCAGTTCTCAACTCTCTAAGAAGGGTCTTACCTGAATTTAGCAAGACTTCTGTGGGTATTACAAAAAAAATCAAAAACCAACGAAAACCAGTATTTGACAAGTCTCCAAGCTCTTACCACTGTTAAGCAAATACATAACTGCATTTGTAAGACCGCTTAAGCTAATAGTTGGGGAGGGTTTATGCTTTTGATCTAATTCCCCCCCAGTAGGGCCTGCATGCTGGAAATGTTGGTACCGCTCCAGTTGGCCCTACAGTTTGCTGTGTGTTCCCCACTCCCTCTGTGCGTTGAGCTTAGCAGTCGTGTGCCTATGAGATGGGTTGGTTTAGCAAGTCGATCTGAGGGGAAAACACTTCTTTTTTTTGTTTGGTTTTTTTTTGCAGGTTGGTTTTCCATTGGAACAACTTGCTGAGTCTGTTCACGGTGCAGCCACACAGCCTCTGCGTCTGGTGTGAGGAAAGCAGTAGGAGTGTGTGACCAGGGATGGAGGGAAGAGCAGGATGACTCTTTTTGAGAGCAGCTCACAGACTCGCTGTCACACAAACCTACAGCCCGTGGGCAGGCCCTTACAGCTGTGGTTGGTTCTGTAGCAGCACAACTTGTCTTGGACTTGACCGAGACCTGTGCTGCTGAGGGCTTCCCGAGCGCCTGTACCAGCTCCCATGCTGTAAAAATCAAGCAAGGGGCAGCTTCAAGGAGCCTTTCAGCTCCCTGAACTGGCTGGTATCTGCTGTCAGCTAACAGCTAACTGCTGCTATCCCACTGCCTCCATAATTTGCTTCTGTCCAAGCAGCAACTCACATCTCTGCTGGGGGTTTAAGGAAAAAAAAAAAAGGGACAACTATCCAAACAGATTCATCATGTCATCATGTGATGCCAGTGAGGAAAGACTAGGAGGGACACAGAGTGTTTCTCAAAAAAAGATTTTTTTGGAAAAAAATAAAGCTCCATCATAAAAGCAAAAGCAGGACAAACAAAAGCCCACCCCCTTGCAAAGTGAACCAGCTAAGTTCTACTCACCATTGAAAGGGTTAATCTTCTTCGAGATTCGTAAAGAAATTGATTCCTTCAGGTCTTTCTTCTTCACGCACTGAATGCCCAGATTCTGAAAACTGAAGCACATGTGGTAGGATTTCAGCAACTAATAAAGTCTTCAGTGTAGAGTATTAAATAAATTATTTTATGTTGACTGGTGTGATAATATAGTGTAAGAAACGGGGGAAAAAAAGCTTATTTGGAGAAGGATGTAAAAGATCTGAGAAGTAGGGATGCAGTTTTTTCTAAAAGAAGAGCAGAAACAAATTTAAAATCCTAAAATAAAATTCCAAAGGATTTATATTCTTTATTAAGAATATATATTTCTGTATTACAAATTTTTACCCCACATAAACCTACAGTGGTTAAAAGTTAAATTTCAGATAATTTGAAGTGACAATTATTTTTGTTATTAATAACCCTGCCGATCTGCATGAGTTAAGGATTTGCCCTCCTGTTTTTATCAGGGAATATAAATTTCAAGCACTATTTTAAAGGTTTTTTGAAACAAGTCTAAACAGGTTTTTAAATCTCATGTAGTTATGGAAAAGTTCTGAAGAGCTGCAGCTCTTCCTTATTTGCATAAGAGTGCAGGTCACCCCGATGCAGGAGGTGGGGGGAGTCCCAGGCGAGCTGACTCTTTCCCACATGGAAAAACCATGACATCATCAAAGCTGAGTGGATGTAAAGCAGGAAGTAAAAAAAATAAATAATCCGAGTTTCATGATGTTACAATAAGCTCAGAAGATAGGTCGTGCCAGCAGGCATCTGCCTCCAGAAGTACCAGCAATTTCCCTTCCTTTGAAACTCTAAAGAAGTTCTTTGCTCTAGCTATGTCTGAAAAAAACCCCCAACATTTTAATGCACCTAAAGACACTCCTTATTCTTGCCAACACCCTCTAGAATAGCCCTACATTTCCCTGCTCTGAACAAGACTATCCTAGCATGATGTTGAATTTAATTGCCTGTGCCTAATGCGCTGTGTTCAGAGGTTCCCAAATCCTCTACAATCAGACTCCACTTCCAAAACCTTTATTCACTAGAGGAACGCATAAGCTTCCTTTTGAACCTGAACTTGATACTTTGACTTAGAGAAAAATAAAATGCAATATCATCTCAAAATTCACTAGAGCACTTTGGCTTCATATTGTGGCTACTGACATTCAAGATTTGTACTGTACCTTGATGAGGAACCCTATTTCTATCTTCTCTCGTAGATAGTACCTTTTTTTAGGGCTTGATCACAGCACGTACTACATCTTTTCCCCCCACAGGCCTGGTTCCATATTATATCCCAAATTGCTATCTGGCAGTCCCAGGCTCTCCAGCCACCCACCATAAGTTACCAAGCAAGTACATACGTAGAACAAAAGCTCTACCCAGCTAAGCAAGGACTGACGGCCGTTACTCGGTGCCTTTCAAGCCTCTCCTGGACAGAAACTGGGCTTTTAAACACCTTGTAATTCTCAGATTATAAGCATTGTCTTAAACATGCGCTGTCGCAGTGAAAGTATCTATTTAATGATTGCTAAACAGAAGGCCGGGTGAGAGGAGAAACTGTTGAGAACCTCAGCAAGGCTGTGGGGTTTCACATCAACGCTAGCTGACAGGAAGCAAGCAAGCTAACGAGAAGAGAGAGGGAGAAGTAGGAAGAGAGAAAAAAAAAAGGCAAAAAAAAAATCAAAACAAAAACAAAACAAAGCATAAAAACCATTTAAAAAACCCTATGATATCATCCATGCAGAGAGACAGCAAACTAGGAAGTAAAAATCTGAGTATGCTGGCAGCCACACAAGCTCCAACGTTCATATTTTTGCCTGCTGCTTTGGCCAGGGAGGGCTCTGATGAAGTTTCGGCAGCGGTACAAAGTTCATTATACCACAGGCAGAACAAAACACTTTGTTCAACCGGAACCGCATGGGGAACTTTAAGCAAGCAGAAAGCAGAGTAATTGCTCAGACCAGCCCAAAATCTGGGATTAATAATTCCCCTCCTGCAGAAAGAAAGAAATTTTAAAACTGGATTTTTGTTCCATTTGGGATGATCAGCAAGAGTAAACAGCCAGAACCACTACCGAGAGAGGACATCTTCTGCTCACTAGTATTGTGTGAGGCTTTTCTCCAACATGGACTCGAAAAGAAGAATGTGAAGACTGAGTCACCAGCCACAAAAAGGAAAATGACTTTAAACATCCAGATCCAATTATGGATCATACTGTTCTTTCATCTTAAAGTAACCAATGATTTGTTTAAAAAAAAAAAAAAGTGACTGTACCAATGCTGGAAACATTTCAAAGAGAATGTTTCTAGCCTCCTCCCATCAGGATCAGGAGCTCAACTGAAGCTCAGTTTCTCATTATCAATAAAGTGAAAGTAGCCCACTTACTATTTTGTAAGAAAGTAAGGGGTTTATAACCTAACAATAATGAGAAAAATTGATGGATATAGCAAACCATCCTAAGTGTCTTAAATGAAATGGAGTTACAGCATGCTATCAAAGAACAGCATTTGACGCACACATATAATGGAGATGAAATAAAAATTTGCAAATAAATATTTGCAGAGCATCCCAATGCTTTTTGACATTACATCCTGTAATGGCCTCTCTACAGACTTGCCTAGTGCTTACACACTTATCCTTGTGCAATAAAATGCCAAGAGGAAAAACAATCATCAGTGTCTTCCTGCACCCGGTGAATGTAACACATAACCAGAAACGGTGTTAAGCAATCAATCAGGCTTTTTTGCTTTGGATCAGAAGGTGCAGAGCTGAGAGGAGGAAGTGGGATGGGCTAGAACGGCTGACATCCTTTGACCTTGTGTGAGGAAGCTTGATGTGAGATGACAAAGGAGAAGCTGGTGAATGGACAGTCAGAGGAAGGCGCAAGGTCCCTCAGCAGTTTAAGATATTTGCAACCACCTTTTAGACAAGGTGAAGGGGAACTCTATTTGAAGGGAAGCGGATAAGGGTGAGTTTACAACAATCAAGATGGAAGGTAAGTGCCTGAAGGGACAGCCCTACCTTTCCAAAGAGGCATGACAGTGGGGAAAAAATTAGAGGAATTACATTTACTCATCCTTTTCTACCATTTGCCAATTAGGGCAGCATTGTGAACAGAGCTAAAAACAATAAACTAATAGAATTGTTAGCATCTGCGACAGCACAGTCAACATGCTACGTGCAACCCGAATACGCTGCAGCACATGCAGGATCACTTGAGCCTGGGCTGTACACTGAAGCAGCATCTCCACTATTGCAACTGTTTATTTCACCATCGGGCAATCATCATCTTCAAACAGCCTGTGTCTTCAGTTCTCTCCTTTAATAGTGTTCTACTGACTAAACCCACGTTCATGTGGAGTAACTTCACTAACACCAACAGAATCACATCAGCCCGAGAGCAGTGCGTAAGAGCTACTTATACACTGAAATATTTACCTTATTTTCTTCCCAGCTCAGTTATGTTTACTCCAAAGCAATAGCCTACTTCCAAATTTACTACATCTCAAACAGCTTGTCAATTCTAAATTCCCCTGTCCAGCAATAATCACTCAACGTTTGTTGCAGTTTACTCTGCTTTTCCTTTATTACGTAAGGACTGGTAAACTTAAAGGAAATGCCATCAAATGCAACTGTATTTTAGATATTCTTAATATCCCCTCTGAACAGCACGGAGAAACACGTCATACACAGCCTGAATTTTTCTTGCTGCATCCACAAACAGATCCATCCCAGGCACGCTTGCTCTACAGCGCTGGGCCTGAGCAGAATCTGTATTTTCACTCAAAAAACACCCAAACAAACAAACAGCAACAACAGTGACACCTACTAACATGTTTCTAGATGTGTCACAACCGTTATCTTCTTGAATGACGTGATACTCAGCCAGTACAAACTTTCTCCACCAGTTTCCAGGAAGTCCAAATATAACTCCCATGGAACATGTGAACTTCCCTAAATCTCTTATCACTGTGAAGTACTAGTTCTAATGCTGTTGCTACCTATTCTATTACTCATAATTCTCACGTGTAAGAGAGAGTCATGCTCAAGAGTAAGACGTGCTACTGAACAAGACTAAAAAAAAAAAAACAAAAACAAACAAGTGGGAGAAAGGAAAAGGAGACAGACCGTGGGAGAATGAACAAAGAAAACGGTGGCAGGAAAAGAACAGGACCGTGGATGAGTGTGTGAAGTATTGAAAATGAAGGAAATACTTCAAAGAGAAGTTGCCCTCTCTGAGATGGATTAGTAAACTTCAGCAAAGACAGCATACTAATTGCTCTTTTAATCACTACTCAGTGTTTCAAAACATAAGATTAGCAAATCGCTTGCATAATTAATCAAACTCCCAAACAACACCATTACTTACGACAGGACTCGCCGTTCTGGCCCAAATTCTGCTTCGTAGTAGCCATCTCTGCAGTCTTTTCCAACCAGATCATGAGGGTGTGGCTTGTAGGGTTCATTCTTCGTTACCAATGTAGTTCTTATTTTGACTTTTCCAAAATAATTCAGAATCTATCAAAAAAAGTGAGATATTTTCTAGATTTTAGATGTCAAGGATAGTAAAGTCCCTACCTGTAACAAAAAAATACATTTTCGCCAAAATACTCTATGGATGAAACAGTACATGTAAGAAAATGGCATTATTGCTTCACAAAAGCCAGGACCATTCAGAAATTTTGGTCCATTTCAGTTCTGTTCATTTTACACTAAACCCCCAACTTTTTGGCAAAATATTTGAAGAGTGAAACGTTTTTCCAAAAGTATACCTCATCTATTTCAGAAAGTAAAACACCACACTTCACCTGCTAGTTATTTGTAATGGTAAAGTTTTGCTGGTGCCAGTACTCAACATCCAATCCATTCAGTTCTCTTAAACTACCCTACTGCAAGAATGAGAAGGAAGTCTGAAAGGCTTTAAAGAACCTCTCTCTTTTTCCTTTTATCCTTCCCCTCTTTTTTTTTTTTTTTTTTTTGGAGGCTGGGGATCCATCGCTTCACCATCTTACCAGGGCTCTTTATGAGTTGAATTCATCCCTGTGCTAAAGGCCAGAAGTAATACAGAAGCTTAGAGGTCAAACAGCTAGTAATGCTGTAAGACCAAATGTAACAGGACATATTTAATTATCATATACAGTGAAAGATGCAAAATTTTACATACACATACAAATGCTTATTGAATGTTTATCGGTCTAGCTCCAAAGATCTTAGGAAAAAGCTCCTAAAGCCTCAGGGATAAGGATATTACCTAGGCATGAACACTAAGTAGTGAAAGTGAATCTTAACAGACACAGCAAGACATAATACCCTATCAAGTTGTTGGGGTTCTTCTAAATTATTCTCATATGAATATTCAATCTTATATTCAAGAAGGGGGGGCAACGAATTCTCAAAGCTCCTATTAGAGCCTTCACAGCAGTTGTCAGCCTAATTCAACACGCATCTCTAAGGTACATAAGTTTTCCCTCATGCTGACGGCTACCAGTGAAGTCACCAAGGCTTGTGTGGGTGAGTGAAAAAAAAAAAGAAAGAAAAACAGTTTGGCCTAAATTGTTTGAAGTGTAACAACTTGAAAGCAAATACAAGACTTGTTCAGGCACACATTTGTGCAGAGGCGAGCTCTCCTCCTCCACTTCCCCTGCCCTGTAACTAACTGTTCCTCTCCTCCTTCAGCCCTTTCTTTCCTCCTCCTGCGACTCCAAGGATCCATCATATCTCCTTTTCAGCTGACATGTCAGACCTTTGACTTGACCTGTCCTCTTCTAGCTTCTGTCATCTGTTATTTTCTTCAGTCTCCACCTTGGCTCCTTCATACAAGCCACCATTACTTTTTGCTCTTAAAACTTCCCACCACTCCTCCTTCAACTATTACGTTATTTCTCCCTCATTTCACACTCAGTCCCTCAAACTTGAAGCCTGATGTAGCCACTTTTGATTCTCCAGTTCCTCCTTGATGTTCTTCATTTCAACCACACCATGAATTTAATCTCTTCCTGGCCTTTCTGTTCTCATCCTCATTGATGTTTCCACCTCTAGAGGGGACTCCCCTAGCAGCTAATCAGCACTAAAGCCTCCTACGGGCTTCAGGGAGGCAGGAATTCACCTAGAAATCACCTGCAATCAGTTAACAATCAGCTCTGTCATCAAGAGTCACCTTTAAAAAAAAGAACAAACTATGGCCAGGATTGCACCGTCACCTACCATGTCCCAGCTTCCTTTTGGGTCCAGGCTGAGAGGAATCAAAGGCTCATACTGCCCAGTCAACTCATGCCCTGACATTGCGTGAGGCTGAGTCTGTGAAAATATTGACTCTAGCCAGCAGCCTATGTAGTTCCTTGTTCAATTGGTAGAGTGCTGAAAAAAAAAAGAGTCTGGCAAGATCTCCATTTCCTGCATTCCTTAACCAAATCTGGCACTGTGATAGTCAAGGGGGTGACCTTGTTTGCTTATTCCCTTAGTAATTCTGGCTTCAGGGCTAGACCAGCTTCCACAGTTGCTTTATGTAGTACAGGCTCACTCTGCTCCTCAACACACGACTGCCAATACTATCTTTCTCAAACTCTCTCTCTTCTTAAAGAACTTTTATGCCTCAGACTAAAACATATTTCTCAGATTTCACATCCTCTATACCTGTTTTATCTGCTGTGATTCCAGAGACTCCATCTTTGGCTCCGCCTTTTTTTTTTTTTTTGTGTATACTTGCCCACACTGCAAGCACAGACACACAGCTGCTGTTCCTGGGCACTGGGATGTACTTCAAGATGGCAGCTACTCTTAGCTTTGTATTTGAGCTTTCTCTTCTAATCTCATCTCTTTGAAAGATTTTCTCCAAATTGAAAGACATCAAGGAAACACTAGCAACTTAAACTTCAAATAGGAGACCAGAAATTCTTTTCCCTTACCCTACCTGTCTAGGGTCTCCGATGCATTTCTTTGTCCCATATACGAAAATTACTGCCAAAATGCTTCCATTCCACCTCTCCTCTCTGTGTCTTTGTGCCTGCTTCGATCCTAGCTGCTAGGGTTACTCTGAAGCCCTTCATTCTGGATTTCCCAACGTATCCACAATGCAACCACCCAACTTGTCCTCACTGCAGGTGCCCTGACCACGTAATTCCCCTTTCTTAGCTCGTTTTTAAATTCTGTATCCCCTTCTGACTTCATGAACTTCATGGTAGTTTTTTTTTTTGCAGAGCCTCATTACCAAATCACTGCCTGCCAGTCACTTTCTTACTTTTGTCACTTGTACAAAGTGCCATCTTTCATGTCACGCCCATGCTTGCGCAGCTTTTCAAAGCCTTTGCAAATTTTATAAGCAAACTCCTTCAAAGCTCTCACAAAACTCATACTGTGGTCCAAATAGCAGAAAAAAACCCCAACTCACAGAACTAAGAAACCAGAACAAGTGTGTATACAGAAAAAGCTAATAATGAATGATTCCCAGACAATGAGTAACTCCACTGAGTTCCTTCTCTACTGGCACTTTGTTAACTACCTCTGCACCTTCTCCTCTTGCAAATTTGAAACAAAATCTTCAATGACTAGAAGCAAGGAACTCTTTTTCCACTCTGTTGCAACTACATTTGCATGCCAAGAAAAGAATAACAGAACATGAAAAGAAAAGTATTTTATTTACTGCACTGAGTCCAACACATAGCTAACGCACAATGTTAATCCGGGCAATGGTAATTAATAGATAAAAGTAGTATTTACCTGTATGGAAGGGAATGTCTTATTGTTTTCAGTACTGTGTTCTCCTGGAATGCTGCCTGCCGATCTTCCCTCACATTTGTATCTGAAACGCATGCCCCTTTGCCTGGGTTGTTCAAATATTTCAATGTAGGGCTCAGGGCCACCTTAAAAGCAAAAGAAAACATTTTCACTGTTAGTACACAGTAGAGCTCAACAAGCAGCAGAAGACGCAAGAATCAGAAGATCTAGACTCTTCAAGGACCTTTCTGCTTGGTCAACCTTCTCAGACAACCTACTCCTCTTTTTATGTACATGCATCTATTGAAGGCAGGGGCAAGGGGAGAGAAGAAATTTTAAACCAAGCCTCAAGTATCAATGCCATCTAAGTAATTAGCAAAGGTCACCCTTCCCTCCATCTCACCTAGAACTTAGCTTCTTTCAGCTATTAGAAAGTCTGATGGAAGAGGATTTTGTACAACAGAAAACAAATATTATTTTGAGGAAATGGTTGACATCTTAATTGTAATACACTTTTAGGAATGGTTGTCCTCTCAAAGTACAGTCACTGTCAATACTATATTCTCTTAAATGTCCTCTGAAAGGGAAGATGTTTCCTCTGAATTGATTGATTCAGTTCCTATTATAGTGAAGCAGAAACTATGCAAATTATACAAAAACCAACGTCCTGGGTTGAATACCATCAGTGTGGGCTGAGAAAAATACCTGACTGTTGGTATTGAATTCTACATCTTGAGCTGCCCATCTCTCACAGGGCCAGATTCTAGTTGCATTATCTACCCAGACAACAAAACCTCGGTAAAAGCTGTGGGGCAGTTGTCAAAAAAGAGGTTTTCAGGAAACATGAGTGATAGACAAGAATAAGAGAGAGCAGAGATCTCAAATGAGGGGGTCAGCAAGACTAACTTAGTAAGAGCGTAAGTACTTTTCAAGTGATATTTTATTGCCATACAGTAACAAGCTATTTAATATATCTTACTGAGAACATCAAACAGGATAGTCAATCAAACAGTGACAACAGTGAGATGGCATGTGAAAAACAAATAACAGAGGGTAAGTAAATATTGTAGAAGTTGAATCATCATGGTGCTGCACGATCAGAAGAACATAGCTTATGGAAATGTCTACCGAGCTCTCTGTCATTTTCATATAATAGCATCCTACTCAAGCAAGGTTGAGCATCACAAACAAACATGACAGGCAAAATCCTGTGGCACAGCACTGAAAAAAGTGCTTGGACTTAACATAATAAGCAAAATAGTTATTAAATATATTGAAAGTGCTAAAAGGGTAAAAGATCCCCTACTTCCTTTTGCCCAAGGTCTATACAGCCTAAGGTCCATTGCATATGAGTTTTGGCAAAGAGGTGGATTCCAATCTTAACTCCGTAATAAAAGCTTCTCTTTTGTTACACCTACAATGGCTTAGGTATACCTGGCAACACAGCCTGAACTTCATGCCTTGCATTTGTTGATCACAAAACATTTGCAGTGCTGCAGTGGTTTATACTAAAGCAGAAAAATATAGCCTAAAAGATAAAGTAATTAGGAGAAGTGGAGAAGGAATGGAAAGAACTACATCTCCGAGATGTTGCCTTGATGTAACCTGAACGCACATTCCACCTCTAACACACCTACAGACAGCTGTGGAATGGCAGTATGAGAAAGCAGCTCTGATGCTGGAACTGCTTTCAAGAACACGTGCCTTTTCAAAACCTGAATGCCTTTTAAGAAGGCACAATGCATTTCAACTTCAGGCTGTGTTTGGTGCCAAACATTTGAGAACTGGGTTTAGGACTCTATATTCCTTTATAACAACTTATCAAAATGAAATATCTAAACAGATCACCTCCCATCAAGTAGATTTTAAATCATTTTCTGAAAACAAACCATGAACTGTCACATTAAATACACACTGGCCACTACTCTAGGTCCAATTACAAGGTTGGTCTCTTTTCTAGATACTTCCCAGATCTTACCTAACCCTCCTTTAGACAAGCTTTGCATATTTTCCTCTTTCTGGAAAATAAGCAAATCCAGCAAAGGGGAGAGTGAGACAGGCATTGATAACAAAAAAGCCTAGAAATGATGTAAAGCTGGTTTCAAAGAGAAAGCAAAAGTCTGAGCTTCTCACAAAACCAAGCTCACACACCAGCATATGGCTATTTAACTTTCACACTTATATTTACTTATGCTATCGTATTTGTCAGGACAGTCCAGTGGATCAGAAAGCAGAGGACTTCTACCAGCATCAAGAAGTGACTGCTGCCTATCAGTCAGCTTCCCGTTTCCATCCCATAACTGAGGAGAGAGAAGAATCTCACCTTTCCATTCCTACATAACACAGTACGCCACAAATACAGACATGTATCCAAATTCTAAATTAAAAATCTATTTTAGATGCTATAATGACAAAATTGCAGTAAAGTGCCTACTAATCATATTACTTCGGAGATGCACAGGCTTACGTAGCTGCTAACCAGACGCACCATACACCCACATTCATGACATATTTGTCAAAATTAGCTAGAGCTTTGCTGTTTAAAACTACTATAGAACATAATAACTTCAAATCTTTAACTCTCTCTGCTTTAACCAATAATCTCCCTTCGTGCTCTATTAATACTTGCTTAAGAGGACTTTTTTCTCACCTATTAAGAGCGCTTTATTTTAAAATTCTGGGCTCAGTGATCTTTACAGGGTTGTGGTTGAAACAAATGTCATTGAAGGCAAACCCACTGCTTACTAGCAGGTGTGTTTGTGGGAAAGTAAAGCTCAGTGACGCAGTAGCCTCCAGAGATTAAACATTAAGCTTCATTTTATCTTGGTTCTCTCTCACTCTATTTAAGAATCGCATTATCATCTCTACCGTGATTATTGGTGTCATCGATGTTTGGTGTAGAGAGGAAACACTTAAAAGTGTTTGTGTGAACTAAAGGCACCATCAGCACTCTGCAGCCAGGAGGGCTGCTCGGCGTGCCCTGTTTCTGTAAACCAGCGATGTGCTGGTGAAGTGGCACGGCTTAACTATTTCCCAATCCACACTCACAATCTACACGGAGGTCTCTTAGTTCCCAGCCCGTTGCTAAAGCCCTGTCCTCTTCAGGTCTTGCTGTGTTGGTCAAACAAATACGAGCTATGTAAAAAAACCAAACTTCCTTTTACTACTTCTGGAAGAGAAACGCACGGCGACTCACATTACCTACCTGCCCACAACTACTCAGAAAACCATTTGAAATGGAAGAAAAGCAAAAATCTAGCTAATCCTTCATCTAAGTGCTTAAGAGTTTAATTTGCCTCTGTAATTAATTATAATTGCCTTTACAAATGCTAGCAATAGAAATATTATGCTACATATTACAACCTGCCTCTTGTTCTTTTTGTTATAAAATTGTTTAATGCCCCCATGCCCCGACTACTACAGTAAATAACTTAGAATACAGGAGATACAGCATCTTGATTACATCAGCACAGAAAACAGGTAAAAGCAGTAACAGCCCCAAGAGTTCAGCCAGCTTCTACTCATTCAAGAACCGAAGGTTGTTTTATTCTCATCTGTTTTGAGCAATACAAAAAAAGGACAAAAGCACAACCCCAAAAACTCAACACAACACTTCCATCAGACCTCTCCATAACGAGAAACCTGGGCCAGTTTAAAGTTTAACATGGCCTGTGCCCTTAGGGAGGAAGCTTGCTGCCACCAAGAAAAGTGACAATGGGATCAAGGGTTCATACAGTTTGTCTTGCTCCTTTGCTCAACGGAAGCAGGCTCTGGAGGAACTAAACCATTTGCAATTTTCTTGCACAACTAGGAGCGCCCAGTGAACAGATTCTCCAGCAACATCTGTGGGTGAAAGCGAAGTAGCTGCAGGTCTTCATGGAAGATGTGAAAGTATCCCCCAAAACCCTACGACCTGAGGTGACTGCAGGGAGACACAGGAGAAGTGCTGCCCTTCAACTTTGCTTGTCACTGCTCTGTACAGATCAGCGGTGACCCTACATCATCCCCAGAAATAGCCAGCTCTGAAGAAGCAGGAGCAGACAACCTATACTCTCATAACCTCCTGCGACAGCTCAGACAAAAGAGATGATGGTAAAAGATTTATTACAGCACATTCTGGCTCAGTCTGAAACAAGCGAAAGCGTAAACACAATTTTGGAAAACAGTAATCTACCCCGGACTCCATAAATCGTACAGATTCTAACAGAGAGACAAAGTTGCTCAAACTTCCTCTTCACTATCATGCAGAACAGCAACCAAAAGAGAAAAAAAAAAAAAAACCAAAAAACAACTACAAAAGCTAGCTAGTACCAGGAAGTTATGAACTTCCCCTACTGAAAAATTCCTTATGTGGTTCCTAATTACACTGAAAAAATATTAATAAATTAAGAAAAAAAAAAGGCGAAAAAAGCGTTACCTCCTGCTTCAGTTTTGCCACTCTGAAATACAATATAAAGTGTAAAAGATGCCTCCACACAAACCCAGGTTTTTTTTTCCTTTCTCTGTTGATCGTTAGCACACACATCTATGTAACAGGAGTGAAAGTTCATACTTTGCTAAGTAGTAACTGACTACACACACTCCTAAGCTTTGAGACCAGAGAGCATCTTTCCTTCGAAATGCTACTCTAATTAATGCCACCAAGTCTGGAGTTTTTGTGGGTTTTCTTAAGCGCTAAGATATCAGAGAAACACCTTCTGAAAAGAAGACGAGTTCAGTTTAAATTAGCCTCAAGAAACTTAATTGTGCTTTTTGTTGTAATTACTCAATACATGATCCCTTATCTATGTTACTTTGCATTTCTACCGCCTCTGTTTCTTATTCATCTGCATTTTCATGGCAAGTTCCTATGTGAACAGGATCTTGCTGAGCATCAGTCTTTGGCCTACTGATGTCTTTAGCCCAGACACAAGACCCATGTGCTTATTTAACTCCCAAACGTTTTAATGCCATCATTTTAAGACTTAAAAGGTCCATTCTGAAACATAACAGCCTCATAAAATCTTATCGCGACGAATCTGAGCTACCCCATAATGTTTCTTCATTAACTTTTTCCACATGGCTGCATAACGAGCTACACGGCCGCAGATTTAATATCAAAAGCAGATGCTGGGATGACGGAGCGAGAGGGAGAAGCACAGTTACC